ATAATAAAAAGAAAGACGCGAGACGAGAATCACGAGACGCCAAGAGCGCCAAACGCGAGAGGGCGGGAAAACCATTTAAGACCGGATGGACAATTGCTGCAGGATACTTTGTGTCGGGCGGCCGCTTGTGCCACATAACACACGCATGCTCAATTACGGTACTCAGTTTAGTTTCGGCTTTGAAAGGCAACCGAAATTATTTGTTTGGCGCAGGCTTGGCGCAGATTACCCATATCTTGGCAAATTGTAGCAGGATGTAGCATGGTTAGCCCCTTGGCGCAGTTTGGCGCAATTGGCGCAGCAATCACATCACTGACCTAGCACCTAAGGTGCAGGTGCCCCCTGCGGGGCTCGGGGTCCGTGGAGACGCCACTCTCCAAACACCTGCTTTCACAGGTGCCCCCTGCGGGGGTAGTACTTTGCGCTCTTTTTGATTCATAAGTTTTAGTCAAACAAGCTATTTCAGTTTTGCGAAGTAGAAACAATGACATTTTCTATTAACATTTTCAGTATTAAAAACAAATTGAATGGGTGCTGAAGAGATATTCTAGAGTCGATTTTATTGTCTACTGTAATATTCCGAGAGACGCCCCACCCCCGAAAGATAACCCACACCTATTTTCGGCACGATTAACTAGTTTTTGAAAACACCGAAAGATGCCCACTTTTAGTAATTGCAGGGCCCTGGCCAATTGTTACCTCGGCACAAATGGAGTTACTTAGCCATGGAGGGAGGTAAGCGAACATGGCTGACTGGGAAGGGCAGTCATTTTTGGTTCATCACCCCTCCCTGCGATTACAAGTTTAGCAGGTCACAAAATCTTAAACTAGCATTTTTCCAGCTTTTTTCGATTGCACACCAAAGTGAGCTTACTTCTTATTTTCACCCGATTTGCTTTCGATTTTAGTTTGGCTATCTACGTTCTGGTAAACACCAGACACCAATATTTTGTTTGAAAAGACGGCAAGACTCTGTAACGAATAAACCGATTACCAAATTGCACCTGGTGGACGTTCCCGAAGCTACTTCAAACATCATTTCGCCAATTGTCCCGTAAATGAAGCACCGCCCAGCAGAAGTACAGCGACCATCTGCGTACGCATGCTCCCTGTCAAACTTGGCCGAACTGGAGTTGTTGTTTTTTTTCCCCCGCGCCTGTTCATCTGCTGCATTGGGAGGGGATGAGACAGAGAAGGGGAAAAGATCAGCAAAGTTTGAAGCTCAGGTAAGTCACTTTTTTGCTTCTGCTAGCATCGCCCAACCAGACCTAGGGCATCTCCAGCTTGTGACACGTTGACGCCACCAAGTGGCGAAGCTCGTAACCGCACAAGCCTCTCTGTAGCCTTGACCATGCTGGGAAAAGTGATGTCACAGTCTCCCGTGATGCATCGCGCTCTCCAATGGCTGCCCTTCGAGCGCTCACTACAATCGGCCGTTTGGAATGAAAAATATAGAGGTTTGTTCAAAATACAAACGTGTGACTGCCATTAGCAGCTATGGTTGATCATGTTCAACTTATTTCTGAACACGAGAAGTATGCTTACATTTTCATTTCTGTGTCCCCTTAATGCGGCATTCAAGGGCATATTTTTTCGTAACAATGTCCACTGTGAAATTTTTTGATACCAGCTTGCATGCTGCCTTTTTTGTGTTGGTGCTCATGTTAATCTCATCGCTTAAGGTTTTGAAATGACAGGAACTGGAATTCACTACTCTTATCCAAACTCACATACATAGATGCAATCCCTGAATGTGTTCAGCTAGATAAATATTATAAAAATGAAGTACTTAACAATTCAAATTTAAAATTTACTATTTGATCTGGAAATTATTTGTATTATATAACCAAGATAAAAGTAGGACAACAAGAGAACTGTTTTTGTCCCCAATTCGATCAAAAAAGATAATGACAATTCTTATGCTCTATTGTGGCATAGCCCAAATACGAGCACTGGAGGGCAGCATAGAATCTTTGTACCAACCAATGAAACGAGATTGCACAAATGGAAGTAACACTTCCTACAATCACAGCAGACAGCAGCAATTGTTGAAAAGCTGCGCTTCTGTAGGGCAATTATTGTAATGAGTAAGTTGAAAAATTTAGCGTGTTGTGGAAAAATAGCTTCATACCAAGATGTACAACAACTGAATTCCACCAACCTTCAGTAAACAAGGACTAAAAACCCCAGAATCATGGGTGTGATCACTCATATGAAATTATTATAATTTTTGTTGCTGCTGAACTTTTTATTTATGCAAGAGTAGATGTTACCCAGGAGATTGGTGGCTGAACATGTTGACATACAGCGGAACCTAGGAATCCTGAGTTTCATCCCTAGCGCTGCCTGCCTAGCTTCGATCAAAATGGCCATTTTCCGCCATGCTTTTGTGTATCACTACTGCATGATGCACCTTAGAGCGGCCACTCTAGCAGTCGTACTCCACTGGCAAAAAGTCTCATCTGCAGCGGAGACACCAGACAACATACAAGGTGCGATCCAAAAGTTTCGGTACTAGTTTTGTGGCGTAACAATAGAAAACACCACGGTGATGCGTGTGCAACTGTCGAAGCAGGGACCTTGGTGCCTTGTTATGTCAAAAGGCGTCATTCTGTAAACCAGCTGTGCGCACAGAACCATGCTGCCTTCTCTTTTTATGCTGCAAAACTATAGTCCGTTGCAACCTAAGAACGAAGGGCAAGGGCAAGACAGGCCGGGGAGGAGGAAGCAGACGGAACGCTAAAGAGAGGAGGAGGTTTCCCCCTCTCTTCTCCAGCGTTCCGTCTGCTTCCTCCTCCCCGGACAGTCTTACCCTCGCCCTTCGTTCTTAGGTTGCAACGGACAATAGTCCCGGAATCGTATGATCACACCCAGTACAAACACAATTTTGACCATGGAAACACCATAAACACATGAGGGCGCAGAACAAACACATGGGTTGAGAGCTGCTGTGCGTTTCTGATGTAATGTCGCACCATCTGCAGGACTTGCCTCATATTGTGGAACCTGTCAATTACCAACATTAAAGAGTGACTTTTCTGTTTTTTTGTAAGGCACCTGTATAAACAGACTGTTTGGGAAGGTGGATTTCTGTTCCTTTAGATTGCTGTTTCTTGCCTCCTCAATTTGTTGCAAACATTGTTGATACCTAAACCAGAATTATAGTTTCATGTGAAGGACTTCCGTCTTCCTCGGGACACGATTTAGCAAAGCAGCAAATTTTTCAAAGAAGTCTAAATGACAAACAGGTGGGCACTTGTATTAGACACAGCTTGCAAGTGCATACCTGAGAGCAAGAATTGATTATACTTTTGCCATCATCAGCTAGCCGCTCTAATTGGGTGTGCCACAATAAAGCTCTGCAAGATCTGACCCTTCCCTCGACTTTTAGTCAGTCAGGTTTAAGATGCTGTGGGTGTGTGCAAAGCTTAAAATTTACCCTTTAATGGTACATAACCAGCTAGCACAAAACTGTCCGGGACCATACAAGCACTGGACAAAACAAACTGTTACTGCCGTGAAACGGAGTGAAGGGGAAAGAAGGAAACAACAACACTGCCCGAAGGCCATCACATGCGCACGCTGAACACCAGCCGGAGGAAATACTCGTAGGAAATCTTGAACCAGCCACCTTGGTCTGTGTCATGATGGCGGAATGTAACGCAGCACTGGATGAAGTCGTCGAAGTTGGTGGATCCTTGCCGTCCCTACCAAACTTCACTAGCAACATAGTCATCGTTGGCTCGCTCAGCCGGTAGCCAAACCTAGTGACGGCCTCGCTAAGTTCTCACTTGTCGATAGTGCCCGAGCGGTTCAGATCAAAGCTCTAGAAGCAGCTCAGCCAGCTGGTGATGTTACCAATAACTGGTACAAAGCTTAAAATCCCACAAATTTGTTTTATGTAATTAGGTGTGCAATAGTCCTCTCAAGCTTGGATCATGTTGCTGGAATACGCGAATATACCGATATAACGCTGGCAAGCGCAGTTTTAGATCACACAAAGCGCTAATAACAACGCACCCCTGCTTGCTCCACCTTATTTTTCAAGACGAGGTTTTAAAGTCTTCAAGATGCCCTAAAAGTAAAAAACGTGGCTTAAAAAAAGAAACCTGTTTATGCTAGTTATTTTTTACCTACCAGAGATACGGCTCTGCCTCTTACCAACGTTTAGATGCACGCATTGAGATCATTGTGGAAACAGCTGTAGCATGTAATAGACACCGCGTAAGAAGCTACGCACAAAAGAACAAAACAAAAAAACCTGCGAAGAAGTTCATCGTGAACCGAAACTGCGCGAAACCAAATACGCAGAAGTTCGCGCGTGTCGTCGCCGGCAAACGAAGTAAAACAGCAAAATATATATCGTTTGCTGTTTTTCTTCGCGATGATCTGTAGAAAGAAACAGAACACTCAAGTGCCACAGTTCCATCATTCGACGCTTGACAGCCGGTGCAAAACCACCACGGCAAACATAACCGAAGTGCAAACGGCCACGAGCTCTCAGGTGTCCCGTCGCCAATGGCGCCAAAGCCGCGTGCATCGTCAGCGGTATCCACAGGTCTACCAGAATAAATGCCAGGGCAACGCCAGACGAGGTTCGGTAGCTGTTTCTGATCAACTACGACCGGGGGTCATCGGCAGACGCCGACCAGACCGCCGGCATCGTTAAAACGTTTGCAGGGCCGGGTTCGCGTGGTTGATTCACCGGACCGCCTGCCACGATGGCAAGCCGTTAACCAGCTACAACTGCCCTATGTCTTTCATCGAAGGGCCCATACGTGCGTTAAGGCCAACACGTGTGGTCCGGATATTGCTCACTAACGACGATAATAATATTAATAAAAAAAAAAGGGCCTATCGTATTGAGATCTTTTCGTTTCTTTTATCTGCGAAGTAGGCTTAACCGACCCAGCAGTTTCTCGCGGAGGGCTATGAGACTTCGGTTGGCGAACGCGTTTTTGTTGCCGTTGTTTTTCTAGAACTTTGGTTGAATTGCTTACCTGTCCACCTCTGGAGCCTCCCTGCGTCTGTGCGCCGTCCACCTGAGACGCCTGCGTCTGTGACGGCAGCGTGAAGTCGGTGAAATCGAATTCCGAACCCTGCGTGTCGGCGCCCAGCAAGTCCGTGGCTTCCTCGGTGTCGAGGAACGTCAGGGTTTGCGAGCTCGGGCCGTACGCGTCCACACTCATGCTCATGGCTTGGAAGAGCGGTCAAATCACACAAACGATGGTCGAGGTCAGTCACAGTTCGACGCGGTAACGGGGTAGTCTTCTCAAAGCTCGAAGCAATCGAACAGCACACCACCAGCTCAAGGAGCTTTACGCCATCTTCTATCGCGCACACACACCGTGACACACACACACACACACACCACACGCACACAAAACGCAAACACACATACAAAAAACGCGCATGGTACCATGGTTTACAGATTGTTTTCTTCAGATCAACTAAATATATTTTTTGCACTAAATAACTATTTATATAACCATTTAGTTCGATAATGAAAATAGTCTTACATTCTATAGACAATTACGTCTGTGAAATGCAATAAAAGGTTAAAAAATATATATATAATGGAAGACTCTCACGAATCAACAACATACCTACAAGTTACAACAACAGCCGAAACTAGAGCAAGCTTTAGCCAACGCTTCAGCTGCTTTGGTTGCTTTCACAGTTTTTCACTGTAGCTGCTTTAGCTTTAGCAGTGAAGTTTGTGAAGTCGGTGAGGTCAAGAAGGGGTGAAGTAGTGTCGTTAGTGTGGCTTGTGCGCTTCAGGGCTTCAGCTAGTTTGAAGGGTTTGAGGCCTTCAAGCTGACGAAGTACATGATGACTCAACTCAACATTTTACTCGTTTACGTTGTATAACAGCAGAAGAATCTTGAGAATATGCGCATTTTTATGAACAAGCGATTTTCGCGAAAGCGTCGTCCGAAGAGGTGTGTTCACACTTCGTCGCGGTGGTGGGTGTGTGACACAGCTTTTGGGTTCCTGTTTTCTGAACTTCTCGTTGTTTCCACCGAGAAAAGTGTGCCAAATTAGCGAATTCCAGTCGGTCTTCGAGCGTCTCCAGATGATTAGCGACAGCTGTTTGATAATGTGAGCGACACAGCTCCCGAAATCAAGCAAAAATGGACAAGTTGACCGTGATATCCGGTACTCTGTTTTTTGCTGCAAACGTCTTTGCCATTCTGAGCCTGGTTCTTCCCGACTGGATCGTGTCCGACGTAGGAGGTGTGTACTGTGCGCGTACCTCGTCGTTTAAGAACTGTGTGTGTGCCGTGCGTGCCGACTCCACCAGCGATGGCTTGTAACGCGAGTGCTCTTCCAACCCTATTGTGAGCCGCGTCGCAGGAGTTTGGCTTCTCTTGCGCTTTTCGTCGCATGCTCCCATCCAATGTTCATTTAATGGTTGATGCAAAACTGCAAGAAAATTGAACGAACCTAGTACCTGCGGGCTTAAAACTAAGACGAGTGTTAAAATATTCTAAAATATCTTAAAAAATACTAAAATTGTCGGCGCGATTAGGAGGGCGCCATGTGCACACTAGAGTCGCCAAGGAAGCTATGCTAAGGGGATAGCTATACTTCAGCCATATTGGTGCATAGAATCCATGTTGCCATTTGTCGCCGGCTTTTGCAAATGTGCCTATGGGGGATGCAGAAGTGCTTTCCGTCATCCTGCTTGCTAAACCAGGTCATGACAGAGCAAAGCAATACCACAAAGATCTAACAGAATATGTACCAATCAAAGATGCATACACCCTTTTAGTGACTCTAGTCCACACAAAAAGTCCGATGAAATTGGCCTGTCGCAAGATACAGCTTTTCTGGTACCGACCATCAAAAAGGTCAATCCTGGATGACGGTACATAGTTTGTGTGTATGTCACCAAAATTGCATTCTGGGACGGACGTCTCCACATTTCTGTGCCAAATCTCTAATGCAGCAAAGGAGGGTCATGCACCAAACAGTGTTGACCGATTGTCATTCCTCCTGGCTGAGTGAATATTTGTTTGGGCAGTTCAATGTTTGGTTGCACGTTAAAACATAACTAAGAGCAACAACTGCCCCGATCAATCAGCGCATGCTTCTTCAGGTTATCGAGAGTTACTGCAGTCCACTTTGAATGCACGCACAAACTGTCGACAAAGTGGATTGACTCCAGCGTGACTGCATATGGCATCGCAGGCAAGCATAAAAATCAACTGGTGTATATCTTGAAGCAAAATATATTTTTTAGGATTTTTGTTTTTTTTCAAAAGCCGGGGGGGATGCATTGGAAGCTGCATCAATAGCCTTGTGGCCGAGTTAACCAGCATGCATCGACCAGTGCCATTTCTTTTTCAGGCACTTTCAAGTAATTTAATTACACAAATTATGGTTCATGGGGCGTCTATTTTAAAGTTGCAAATGTGAGTGAAGGGGTTTGCTCGGCTTCGTGTCGCATCTCTTGATTTGAAAGAGCACCGTCCGTGATATATGAAAAAGAAAGGCGGCCGTAGTAGTCGCATGTACACCGCGGCACTGCTCGTAGGAGCCGTCGCCATGGCAGAATTCATTCTTCCTCTCATCTGGCTTCCGAGCTCGCCGAAATAAATGGTGTAAAGCGGCAGCGTCCGCTCTTCCAACGGCGGCATCCTTTCGCACAAAAGTGTTCACCAGATAAATTTACGAGACTTACCTTTGAACTGTAGAAATTTAAACGCTACATGAAGCAAAAGAAATAACAATCTAAGGATGTGCAGCTATCAAACCTTACTATGGGACTGGACAGCCAAACAAAACTGGCAGTAGAGGATGCTCAGCAGGCTCTCCTGTCAATATGGCAGAGGGCGGATTGCCGTGGTGCGACCTCACGTGCACGCCTTGTATGCTCCACCTCTTAAGTTTAAGTGCAGCGCTATGAAATTCTCTGTTATGTGCATGCATCTGTGCATATGGAGTATTCACAAAGAAAAAGCTGTGTGCCGGGCTTGTGTTTGTACACCGAGGCCTGTGCCTGTCATAGTACTTACTGCACAGAAATGCCGAGAAAATACAAAATTGAACAAAAATAATTGAGGTGCAAGTGAGCTGGCGTTTGATTGTATCCGTACATAAACTGGAGACGGCCGCTGATGCAAGACATGAAGAAAACAAGGACCAGGTTTTGGTCCCTCTCCCCTGTCTGTTTCCTTCTGGGTGACCATTGTGCCGGCACGCGGCCGTGTAACTACCACTGCACGACACACATTAAAGACCCAAATTGGCAGTTATACTGCACTGTCAAAATTTTTTTTCTTTCCAGCAGAGATGCTAGATGCTCATTGGGTCCGGCTAACTTCCCGCTGTCTACACAAATTCACAACACAGTCATCATATTTTCCAGTGTAAAATTTATAGTTATTTAATAGGTTTCTGTCGGTGTGTCTCGTACATTTGAGCAACTTATAAATTTTTTTTGTTTGAGTGTGAACCTTAACTGTGCAAATCTGCAGCAGGGGCTATATTTCCTGTTTGATTAGTCGGCTAGAACGTTGAAAGTGGCTCCCGCTTGCGCATATATCGCGATTTAAACAGGTATGCAGGCTTATCAATGCAGTTTCGCCGTGCTGACCGTACAAATATAAGTGCAACTCGTAAACGCCCATTTGTAGGAGGTGCAACTTGTAGAGTGGAAAATATGGTACTTCTAGACTAACATACTCCCCTGTACTGTGCCTTAGTGTGATGATGATGCTCCAGTCCGTAGGATTGCTGGTGCCTCACCGTGTCTCCTGGAACCCCCCATCGCAGGCGACACACGGCTCGGCCTGCTGCAGACATGCACGACCCTGCAGGGGCGGCCCCAGACCTGCTTCCCGCCCACCCTTCAGCCCGAGTGGATGCTGGCCCTGGTGTGCATCGTGCTGGGCTGCGTCTGCATCACAGCCACCACTGTACTGCTGGCCTTGTCACGCTGGAACGTCCGCGTCGTGCCGTACGCCCGCTGGATGGGGTTCTCAGCCAGTGAGTTGACACTGCTTCGTGACGTTTATGCGGAGCGCAAGTTTGTCTGCTTTTTTCAGAGGGGTTGCGAGGATTTCAGAACGCTGAGCGTTTATTGGCCAATTGAAAAAAAAATAGTGGGCAGACCTCAAGGCATCGAGCATTGAGGTCTACCCACTATCCTTTCAATCAAAGCCAATCAGAGCTCGACGTCGTTTTGACATCACCGCAACCCCTGCACAAGAAGCAGACGACTTGCTCTCTGCCTAGTCACCGAAAAGGTGAAAACGGCTTCGACAGTGCTTCGGTGTCTCGTGTACCTTGAGCGCACGCATGCAGCTGCAGCACGGTGGAAGACACGGAGCGCGTGCTGGAGGCTTGACATTCGAAAGACACGCCCTGCCATTCTCTTGCTGTCGGTGACTTTAGACGTGTGCAAGCACAGCCTCTAGGCACCACCATCTTGCTGCTGGTGACAATAGATCGTTTGAGGGTAGATCGTGTGATAGCCAAGGAGGCCATACTTGCAAACGTCTATAGTTATACTCCTTTTCACCTTTCCACGGACCGTAGAGGGGCTACGAGCCATCGAAGCCATTCCAGTGCCGCGCTAGTGTCACATGGTCTTCGAGAGGGGCGCAGCGACGTGCAGGGCGCGTAGTCACATGATATGTTCACGTCACTGGATTGGCTGGCACGACTTGTAGCATCTGCTGCGGTTTATCGTAGGTAAAATGGAGTATTGGGGCAGTTTTGAGAAGGGCAAAGAATAATCAATACTAACAGGTGGAGCCAGTGAGAGCAAGTGAATAGCCATGGTTGTTCGGAGCTGGGAGTAAAATAAGGCCATTTTTTTGTACATGGGGTCATAGGCATAGACTAAGGGGGGGCATTGGGGCTCGTGCCCCCTTTGGTGAGATCCGGGGGGGGGGCACGATCCTTACCGAGACGCTGTTCACGTGCCACGTAACGAGCTTCTAGTAGTGGCATGGAAACAAAAAAATGCACACAGCGATGGACACATAGCGGTATACATACGCTGTAAAATGTACCCCCTAAAATAAGCTACTGATAAATGCCGGTGTAAAAAAAAATTGTGCGGAAAAGCATTCCCCCCCACCCCCCGGAAAACTTTTCAGCCTGCCCCTCCCCCCCCGTCGGGAAAATGGAAAGTCTACGCCGCTACTTGGGGTATCACTGAATGTAAGATGTCTTGAAATGGCTGGAATGAGCTACAGGCGTCTTGGGCCAAGTGTCCTTGAAACCGTCTAGGTCCGAATTTTTCGCGCGCTGCGTTTTACGAGGGCCACTGAAAGAAATCCCGAGACACTTGTCACTAATCGAAGGTAGTTTTCCTCCAACTATTATATCTTTTAATCTTCCTGACATTGCACAGGATGACCCATCCTTCTCAACCTGTTCCGGAAGCACAACTGCATATCATGCACTGTATTCAAGTGCTCTTGGCAAGCCGTGGTAACACCTTCAGGTGTTGGAAATTGCTGTCCTATGCAGTTTTGCCCTTCAGCAAATAGAACAGGAAGAAGTCGCATAATGCGAGGTCTCGATGGTAGAGCGGACAGGCGATCAATTCCATTGAAGTGCCTTCAAGGAAGTTCAATGCCATGTTGGCAGCGTGGGCTGAACTTTGAGGAAGTTGAATGTCGTGTTGGCAGAATGGGCAGCTATACCGCATTGTTGCGGTGTAGCTGGATTTTCCATAAGTGAGATCTTGGTCGCCTCTCCTTATTTTCTCCAGGACTGCTTGCAGGCAGACCGTGGTGTACTGTTGTGCAGTAAGTATGCTTGGATTTTTGAGAGAAACCCTGGTGTTCAGTTGAGGTGCTATTTAGAGGAGACCAATTTCAAGTGCTTAGCTTATGCGGTGGAGGGTAGCTTCACTTGCCATGTCTGTGAGAATCTTGAGGTCGGTTTTACGAGCTTAGAAGGAGAGTGGGTAGCTAGGTTTGAGGAGCTTAAGGCGGAATTCAATGTAGGAGAGGGAGAGGCGGGCTGTGCTTGAGATGCAGGTCAAGGAGCTGAACGATGTGCTCAGGCAGGAATGAAAGAAGCGGGCCAAACTCGAAAATCTTGGGATAGGTTTTGAAAGGACAGAAAGAGCCTGGGTTGTTAAGCTAGAGGAATTAAAGGATATGTGTACGAAATTGAATGAAGAGAAAAAGAAGCAAGAGGTGCTAGAGGAGGCCTGGCAAGGTCAGCTGGAGGAGGTGAATGCGACGCAAAGGCCTAACAAAGATAAACATGAATCAATAGAGTGGCAACTGGAGGTGAGAGTAATGAAGGAGAAGGAAGGGCGAGAAGCAGTGGAAAAGGAGTTAAAAAGGGAAAAGGAGCTGCAGAAGATGAAGAGACAGGGGACGGAGAGAGGAGTAGTTGACACAGTGCCGGTTGTAGAGAGCGTGAGGGCAGAGGGCATAGACACTAGTGGGCGTCAGAGGCAGCGAGGCTGCTGTACAGTATGGTGGTGCAACGGCAGCTCCCTATTCCGACAGCAACCAAGCCTGCAATGCAGGAAAAACAAAAATGAAGTGGGCAGAGTGTTGATAGTAGAGAGCTCTAATCTGTCTAGGTGTACAGCGGAGATCGCAAGCAGAGTTGGGGGGATGGGGGAGTAAAGGTTGCAGCCCTCCCAGGCAGGGGGATGAAGGAGGTGATGGACATGGCAGTATAAATGTTGACTGTAAACAAGGGGGAGGAAAACCTTGTGGTGGTACATGCAGGTTTGAATGACGTCCTAGGTAGAAGGGGAACAAACCTGGCTACGCACGTCGAGGAGGGTGTGAAGCAGTTGAGGCTCATAGCCTCTGGCATGATGCATTGTAATGTGCATTGTCCCGGAGGTAACAGGCTGAGGAGTAGGTACAGAGAGGGCAGTCCAGGAGGCTTACAGGACCATTAAGAGACTTCTGAGCTCTAAGAACAAATTTGAGGTCATGAATGTGAACAGTGAGGTATACCTGCAGAGTTTGACACTCCCGTTCAGCCGAGACAGCACCCACTATGGGGAATAGACGGGGATGCCGGTGGGGCGAAAGATGGGCGGTATAGCAGAGGCTTTTTTAGGAGCCTGCAGAGCCCTCCAGTATCTGGCTCCAATGCTCCAATGCAAATAAGAAGGTCAGGGGGAAACCTCACAGTACAAGGAAAAAGAAGCACCTCAATATAGGATTTATAAACATGGGGGGGGGGGGGGGGGGGCAGGGCAGGGGCAGGGGCAGGCAGGGGGAAGTGGGGCAGAAATAGAATGAAGTGGGAAGAGATAGTGGAACAATTAAATGATAAAGTGGTCCCACTCCAAGTGGTCCCATTCCAAGTGGTCCCACTCCAAATGGTCCCACTAGCCTCCTATTTGCCAAGTGGTCCCTGTTCGATGAGCCACTTCAAGTGGTTCCACTTAAAAACTTTCACCTGGGTCGTCTTCCTCTTTGTCAGAGTCCAGCAGCACATCTCCCCCTTAAAAACTGAACTCTGTTTACAGGTCTAACAAGTCTTTCATTGCGTGCCACGTATGCAGTCACCCTAATGTTGAACTCGGACCTTTCTTAGCCGATTTCAGTCCTAGGCATCAGTGTGACATGTAATCCTTTCCGGCTCATATGCATATCCAGGGACTTTCTTTCTCTCCAGACAGACGTCCTCTTTACCCCGCTGCATTGGCTTGAAACTCTATGGCATACGCATCAACTTGTCTGCCAACTTCTCATCCAGCTAGATCTAGTGAAGACCCTTTTGTATACATTGCAAATCGGCAGTCAATGCCGAATTTTCGTTCTCAAGCACTTCACAGTGATTCTTGTGCTGCTTTATTAACTCCAATCAATATTTTTTTATTTTTTATTTTTTTTTTAATTTTGGATCGGGATTTTTTTTAGATATTGTGTATAATTTTAAAACGTTACGGCTCCAAGTTTGATTTCGGGTATCTATGGCAAAACTGAAACTATCTGCTAGAGGGATGGAAACACCGATCATCAGCCGTTCTGTCGCGATGTTACATCATCGTGGTGCTGTGGTACGCGGTACAACCATTCAACCACAGCTCCACTGCGACGTGACGTCACAAGGGTGCTGCGCCAGTGTCTCTTGACTAAAAGCTAACCCGCTTGCCATCCGTTAAAGAGCAGCTGGTTGCATCTTTAAAATTGGTTTTAGTGGAGTGTGCGTCCTCACTTAGACGTAATATTGCCACGCGTGTCGCTGAGCAAATGCTGGCATGGCCGAATGGTTACCGTGCTTGGCTTTCGCTCGGAGGACCCAGGTTCGATTCCTCGAATTGGAAGCTTCTTTTATTTATTCTTTCAACTTAGCGTTCTCAGTAAGTTTGAGAACCTTGTTCTCTGATCGAGGTTCGAGCATTCTACGCCGAATGTTCAAGAAACCTATGTGGCTACAAAAGGTGCTTTGCGTGGCGATCCGGAGTCAGTTTCACTCTTGTGCTCGATCGTGCTTCTCCGCCGACCTTCGACGCCTGCGACGCTACCTGTGACAGCTGCTTCTCTTCCTCGGTGCTTTGCTGCAACTTGGCATCTACCAACTCCATCCTCTCTGCTGACCTTCGATAGATATCCAAATATGGGCATGTTTACTTCAATGGCACTAACAATCAAGTTAGCAACTTATGCAGGGCAGTTTTAACCCAGCACCTCTTCTCTTGATGTCCGGCGTCTCCTGTCAGAATTCAGACTTCTCTTACGGAGTTTGTTTCTTTACAAGTCTTTGAGCTACCTCTCGATGCATTTATTGTCCTAAACAGCCATTGATGTCCCATGTATGAGGATCTGACTGTGCAGCCTAAGCTCATCCTCATGGCTTTGAAGTTTTTGCCGGAGAGCCTCACTGTCGCCTTCTTGGCCTTGTTACTTTGACTCAGGGTCACATCTGTTTGAGTGAGCTGCTTCTTGTGCTCATGCAGTCTATGTCTTAGTGATAGCACTTCTTCTCTTCATTGTTTCTCCAAGGTGTGCAATGTAATGCCTCCAGAAGAGCAGTCAGGGGCAGAT